CCTCCAAATTTTTAAGTCATCTGCGTATAGGACCATAGGGGAGTCGGTCAGCAGAGGTAACTCATTGATATACAGAATAGAATGATTGACACTAGTATTTACCAGTTTCAGGATATCATCAAACTTTGGCTCGATACCCTCATCCTCCATACGGGAGCTCATCTTCACCCACTTCCTTTGCAGTCGAGTAGGTAGACGTCTTGCTATTACTTCTAGTATAAAACTCGAGTTGAGGTTACTCATGCGATTCATCGAAATCATTCCATTCTTGTAAATTAGCAAATTATCTAAAAACTCAGTGAGTGCCTGGGAGTCATCCTGTAATTGACCACCATTACCCTTAACCGCCTCGAATAATTTCCCTGCAATCATCGAAGGTCTTCCAAACCTTTGACGTAATATGCTCATAGCCTCGTAGTAGCCCTCTTTTGGCTTTATAAACTTACAGCACTGTATAGCTCTTGCAGCATCTCCAGTGCAATATCTCATCAAATACATTAACTTCAATTCATCATTTAATAAAAAACCACTCAAAATGATCTCAAACTCCTTTACAAACTGTAAATAATCATCTGGGTTTCCGTCGAAACACCGTGGTTCAAATTTAGGGAGTTTGATGTTCCTATTATACCTGGACGGCGAAACACTAACATCAACCATGTCATGTTCAACATCAGACAAGTCGTTACAAGTAACAGACAAGTCACAATGACTTACTTTCCTGTTTGCATCCAAGATGCTCTGTCCCTTCTTTGACCCAGGCATTGTTGAACTTGACCCAATTCCAAAAACGTTCCAGATATTGCTTGTTCAAAGAGGACTTGACCGGCACCAGGAAAAATGAACGGCGACTATCCAAACTTTCACCAACTGCTTCAATCCGCCAGATCTGTTTCTATCGTCAGAAACTGTCAATCACGTCTCATAAACCGTTAATGCCCAGCTCTCGCTGCGCTCGGGCCCACGCTGTTCTTCGAAGATTTCGGAAACGCTTAGTTATAAAGGACGAAAAAACCAAAACACCGATTGGCCGCTTGAGATTTGTTTATTGTTACACCAACATATAAAAGGAATAAGCGAACTAAGGTCTGAAAACAAATATTACAATAATAAATCATAAGATTACTTCTGACGATGTTTCACTCTTCTTTCTGAACAGCGACCGATGAGACGATGACTGTCGTATTGATGCCTCCGCGAAAATTGGGGAAGTTGATTTTGAGCAAACAACCATGAATTGATCGTTCAATCTTCAACTCCATTGACATCATCTCTCATCTATCTGTTGGTTAATTTTGTATCTGTCTCGACGCCTTTCCACTTGGATCGTCAACCTGAGAAGGAATGTAGGCGTACTGCTGTAAGTCTTACTGTTCTTCAAGGGTAGATCGTCAAGGCAGAATCCACGACAATTTATGTATTGATTGTACATATGTTCGTGTTAAATAATCGTGTGGGTTCCAAATAATGTAATTGTTGGTTAATCTTGTTTGTGTCTCTCATTCTTCAACCCACAATCGTCAACCTGAGAAGGGTTGCAGGCATACTAGTGCAAGTCCTGCAATACTCCAAAGGAATTACATCAAGACATGATCGGCGGGGTTATTTGTACTGTTTGTATATATGTGTGGTGTGTCATATCAATTGGTGTTTTTGGATTCATTGTGTTTACTTGTTGTTTTCGTATCTTGTTGTTATTGCATAATTTTGTTAAATATTTCGTCGTGATTACTTCTGAAGTTGTTTCGAGTCTTCTACATCCGTGAATGAATTGATTGATGTTAAAGACAGCAGACGGTTCGTATACGCCGGGTAGGCTAGTGTGACAATGACATACACGCGGAGATGATGACTAGCTGTGTTCCAACACGCCGGGGAGCGAGAGTGTAGACGACTGAGGCTTGCATACGTCACCGTTACTAGAACTGAGTCAGAATGAGTGGCAAGCGATTGCAGTGGTAATTGGTAGTGAGTAGATAAGAGGATGTGCGTAGAGTATCATGAGGTGGTGCTACGGTCACGTTGCGTTCTGCAAGAGTCATTCTAGCAAGTGGCGATTGCGTTGCAAGATGTACAGAGGATGACTTTAACTGGAAGGCGTAGGTCGTCGTCGATGAGTGAGATTGTGCTATGGGTGTGCCTGCGGTGTGTTGACTTTGCTGTTTGTTCTCCACTTCAGCTTTTTCCGTGTGGCCCAGGTTCTCGCAATGGCATCCACGTGCATTGGTCGTGATGGAAAAAAGATGGATATATGGGTGGAAGCATGTTTGACCTAAACATCTGTTGGATGGAGTTGCATAACTCTATCATTGCAGTATTCTTACTCGAAGTCCGCTTAGTCATCGAGCATATTTCGAGAACTGACCGTTTAGTTATTTCTAAAACCCTATCTGCAGAAATAGCTAAGTCATCTATAAACAACATCCTGAAGTGTCACAAGTATTCACTGCACTGACTGTGGCAGCTTGGATAAGAAGAGATCTCTAAAAAGTCCTCCATCGAACTGACTTTGGCCAACGACTTCTTTCATTCTTCTCAGCATGCTCACAGCTGACTGATCCCCCAACTCGATGTTACGAAATATTTCGTCCAGACGTTGCCGGTCCGTGAGAACGTTTCTCCTGAGGAGGGATGCTTTGAGCAACTCGTACGAGTTACTTACCTCGGGACTCAACATCTGTGATGTTACGTACTTGCTGAATTCCCGCGGTAGGGCGTGAATAACTGCGAGGAACTGTGAACGTTGATCGGTTATCCCATACTCAAAAATATTTGATTCAGCTATCTGAAACCACGTTTCAGCATTATCTGGCCAGTACGGTACAAGCTGAATGGTTTTAGGAGTTGAGCGGATACGAATGACCTTGGGACTAGGATCACTCATGACGAAGAATACTTCGAACAAAATATAGTACAAGAACAAATACAAAATGGAACGAACTCACCGGGGTTATCTGCGGATTTCTCGTGGATGCAGTTCGCGGTTGGGCTCACCAGTTTAAATGTTGACGGTATAGACCCTGGCGGATTGTACGGAGTATATTAACGCAAGATCGTATACCAACAACTTCTGTATTATTTTTCTTAGTGTCCCAAATCTAACAAACACCACAATTGACCGTCCAAATTACGAGATACATTTCTCAACCAAATCGCGAACTGAATCTGAAACTAAGCTGGTTAGTTATCATGCACGAGGGTGACATGATGGAGTACCAAATCGTAGGGATGCTTGACGGGAAGCCTTCAGCTAAACAAGTCGACTTAAACTCTAAGGGTCAGCATGCAATGTTCACTGATGATTCCTATGGTCACGATGTAATTCTTCTCTTAGGCATGGGCGTTGATAAGGCATATCCCCTATTTGAAGTGGCGCCTCTGGCTTAACCTTGACGGCATTTGCGTGGTTTCGTTGATTCGGGTTAGAGCTAGTCGTCTAGCACACGCAGTAGACGCGATTTCGGTGCTTATTTTGCTCTTGTTGGGTGAATTTATATGAAAATTATTGTTCTATATTGTTTTTGAGCATTAACTTATTGCTTATGTGACAGGACGCTTAAATACATGGTTCATGCAGTGATTTTTGGCATTCCGAGTAAGCTTCGCGTACATTTTAACGAGTCATTCGATAAATTTCTTTGCAGCTTGTTATCTGGAGCACAGCATGGCTTCTGGAGGAACCTCTCATGCCTGTCAAATCCCCTCACTGCAAGAGAAAGCTGGGTCAAATCAAAGGACAACAGAAGACCTGTTGACGTCGTCTTCATAGACTTCAGCAAAGCTTTTGATAAAGTACCTCACAAAAGACTACTCATGAAATTGGAAAGTCTTGGTATCAAAGGCAGATTACTAAACTGGCTCAGGGAATTCCTCCTTCCTAGACAGGAGGCAGAGGGTTAGGATCAACTCAAAACTCTCCTCTTGGACAGCACTACGTAGCGGAGTGCCACAAGGCACGGTACTCGGTCCTCTCCTATTTATTCTGTATATCAGTGAGTTACCTCTGCTCACCGACTCCCTTATGGTCCTATACGCAAATGACTTAAAAATTTGGAGAGAGCTGAAGGGCAACAGTGATACGTCCACGTTACAAGGGGACCTCAACTAATAGTCAGAGTGGTCCGTTGAATGGACCATGCGCACTGGACAATCAAGCACAAACTCCTATGAATTAGAGGAAATAACACTTCCATCAGTTCAGACTCATTTGGACTTAGGTGTCACAGTTAGCCACGACTTAAAAACTACAGCACACTGTCGCGCGGTGGCTGCATTTATTTTCAGGTCCTTATGGGCGATTCGCAGAGCCTTTACTAGAATTACCAGAGATGTTCACCTCCTTATATACATCTCTGGTTAAGTCAAAACTGAAAAACTGCATGCAGGCCACCAGTCCTTGTCTAAATGGGGATTCACACATTCTGAAAGTGTTCAAAGGAAGGCAACACGTATGGTTCACGGCATAGCTAACTTATCATACGAGGAAAGACTAGACAGTTTAAATCTCTTCTCACTGTCGTACCGTAGGCAGAGAGGAGATTTAATCACAATGTTTAAAATTTTAAATAATGACTACGGACCTGACCTATTCTCTCTTTTCCTTCCCACCAGGTCGAACACCTTAAAGGACATAGCAGGAAGTTCAAAAGCCAAGGAGAAATCATGTTGCCGTTGAGTACTGGTTCTCACCGCACCACTCCTCTTGGAGTCTACTAGAGCTAAAGCAGTCGAGTGGTGGGACTTACTACGCAGAAGCTCACCGAAGATCTGGAACTTCTACCTCACAATCAAGAAGCGAACTCAAAGAAATCACTGGTTTATACTAGCTCGTAATCAGGATATTGGATATTGGATAAACTCTTGAAACCGACTCCCAGAAGAAGTGGTGTCTGCAGCCTCAACTGATTCGTTCAAGAAGGGTTTGGAAAACCACATAAATCTACTAGAAAAGGATTAACATAGGCTTCAAGCCTTCTATCCTCAACCAATAAATCTTATGTCACCTTGAATATTTGCGGCCATCAAGTGACCTTTAGGGCGTGTCATTCAAAGCAATCTGGATTGCGCACCAAATCTGTAAAACATCTCCTTTGGATGTCCATTAAAGAAGGTTACTTAAAGAAGTGGTCAGGTACGTCAAGCACATTTGACACTAAAGCTGAATTTCTCTTTAGATTCAAAGCACTGGCATAACGTATATTGTAAATTACTACATAGTGGTTGGTTTCAATGGTTCGACAGTGCATCGTCTATTTCGCCTAAAAGAAGTGTTGATATTAGAGTATGTAGTATTGCAAACGTTGTTTACTTTCTAGCGTGTGGCGGCATTCCTTGCCTTTGGGGATGTTATCAGCCGCGTCCCATGCAAACCAACTGCATTAACGAGTGCAGAAATACCGTTGGCCTTCGGTGTTCCTTATGAACCACATATGGGAACTCAAATGGCTTGGTTTGTTTGTCCGGATCAAGCAACACTGACGTACGTTCACTGACGGCCGAATGTTTATCAGACATTAACGTTTTTTACTGCTCCAATTTTTAAATGATACGTAGGTGAGCTTAATATGGAATCCAGTTTAGCAACGATGAGTGTGTTAATCGCATAGTAGACTGTTACTGCATAACTGTCAGAAGAGAGGAAAAAGCATGTCAGTGTGTACTTAAATTTCGCACAATAATTGTAGATCAAGCATAATATATGTTCATATGAACTGTGATCAAGATTTGACCGGATAGTTGCAATATATAACGTTATAAATGTCTACATAATATATGTTGTTTATGCTTCCGGATATACTAGTGTTGACAGTTTGGAGAAATACCTTACCTCACTTCCTGTCAGTATGCAAACCTCAGTACTTCAGGGGTAATAATGTAGAATATTTGCCTACCGATTTAACTTCACTGGGGTTTGAAATATAATAGATGTTAATTTTCCCAGACAAATATTGCCATTAGTAGTTATTGAGATTGTTGCTTCATATCTTGTATAATAGTCTGGTTACTTCCCGGACTCCTTGACCTATGCAAGTGGAAACCTTAAAGGGGTATTCGCCTAGCGTTTTACTTGAACCCTGGTCAACAGTGCAGTAGATCTGCGCCTATGACTAATAACGCGTTCATAAGTTATTCGACCCTTTCGGCTTCTGGGGCAGGTATGCACTGTATGTTTAGAATCAAGGTTTTCTAGCTCCCTCATGTCCACCATTCGCAGGTGGAATGACAGTCGCTTTCAGTAACACTCTTTGGAGCCAAGCTTTGTAACAGTTTTATATTACATGAATGTCTACTGAGTTTGAATTGGGTTCATATTCAATTTAACTACCTTTTCAGCAAAGTTAGATTATCATAGCCAAAACCAACCAGAACTCAGATACAAAAAAGTTGCATAGTTGTTAAAAAATACACTAGAATATATTGCAAACTTGATATTACACTGTATAGTTGTAGATGATGTGTTGTAAGGATGTCTCCCAGTCAATACACACATGAATTATAGAGAAATCCGGGTGACTGTAGGTCATGGTACTTTGAGATCTATTGATATCTATTCTTCAACCTACTCCTAACTCGAATCATAATCCTAACTTAAACCCCAAATCTAACCTTAACCATAGACCCTATACCTTAATCCTACAAACCTTAACCCCGCTTAACAGTATAGATTTGCAGAAAAAGTATCCAGCAAGCAAGTCGAGTACTCTATCTATCCTCTCCAAGTTCAAAAAGGCAGGAGTAATTTCATTTAGAGTGATACTTGATAATATTCTCTGTATGTGTTCGTTTCTTGAAGGCCAGCTTTTGAAAGACCTTGACGTTGACTATGGTACTTTAATTCCTCCACCTTTTCCACTTGTATTAAAAGCTTCTTTGATTGGGGGGGGATACTATGACACGTCTGCACTTAACTTCTTATTACTAGGGTGAATTAAAATGCTACTGCTGTCTAAGTTAATCTGTTGTCGTAATGTGGGTTCAATGATTAAAGGAAATAACAACAGTTATTAGGAAGTCTGTAACTAGATTTAATTTGCTTTCTGTTACGTATTAATTGTGAGTTGCGTCTACTGGTTTTCGAAGGAATATCTCTTTTGTCTTGGTGTTCATATATTTCCGAACAAACAGTATTACCATAAGTGCATAGAATTAATAGCTAACTTGCTCCATCGTTTATCTCTATGTCAAGTAGGTGAAAAAAAGAATTGGAAATAATGTAGTTGAAGAGTACTGTGAAATTCGGTCATTAACTGAGACAGCATTCGGACCAGAGACCCACTGGTTGAGAAGTGATGTGAACTGTGAATCCACGTCCCCTACTTCCTCTGTTACGTCACTTGAAGTCCCTAAACGCAGATTCTGGTGGTCACATGCACCACCACAGATAGACAATATACATGGTTCGTACTAATTTCCCATAGCTCTATGTGTTTTCTGCATAGGTTGACATGCTTTAATGTAAATGTAAAATTGTGCCTGTGAATATTAAATGGAGGGAACTGTCAGTGGTCCATTGTCAATTAAACACAAGTCTTAATAAAGCTGGAAGAAACTGTCAACCTAAACTCGTTGGTTATCATCCTACAGACTTCTTAAAAGTCAAAACCATGTAAGTGTTAATAAGAACCTGTGTGCTTGGAAGTCGTATGTATTCTCACAGTAAAAGTTATTGACAGCTAATCATTTCAGCGTACGAACTTTCAAGCTATTTGGTAGATTTGCCCCAAATGGTGACAGCTTATAACTACAAGTCAATCAGAGGTGTTAAATTACGTAGCACGGTGACATTTTTCCATTGAGGGACTCAAAATCTGCACCTGTTCTTTCAAAGTTGAGTGCGTACACCGGTGTAATGGATACCTGTTACCCATCCATGCAGCACTTTGTGATGACAGTCTTTGTGTTTACCTGCTGCGGTATTGCCTGACACATCTCCTTATTCTAAATGTATTTTGACACTTTTCCCCAGTGTCAATGCCCTTCATTGACGTTATTCATGGGTCAACTTTGGATGTGCGACCATTTTACTTATCATTGGGGTTTCAGATTCAGGTCCTTGTTGCCTGTGTTAGTCTTTGCAATAAATATCCACAGAGATTTAATTTCTCTTTGAAAACATTCACCGATGTGGCTGAAACTACTGAATTAAGTAAGAAGTTCTAGTCGTTGACCACTTTGTGAGTGAATTTAAATTCCACACGTATTTTATCCATCTGTAGTTTGAGCACATATTTTTGGTTACCTCGTAAATGTACCCTAGAGGGGGAGAAGAGATTGGGAAGACCAATCCCTGAATCATCCTCTAATATACGACATACCCCTGTCTTTTTGGGGAGAGATTTAAATGTTCCATTCTTCTCATAGGGAAGGTGTGACATTCCACTGACTAATTTGGTTCCTACCCTCTGTACTTTCTCCGAGACATGCCTATTTTTTGAAGCACTGACTAGTTACTTGTATGCAGTTTTCTGTATGAGGTCTGACTTATGTTGCTTAGAGTGTTCTGAGGATAGACTCGTCTAATTGTTTGAAAGTCCTTCGAAATGCCCGTATCATTCTAAAAGCCTTGACTGCATCTGCATTACAATTTGCAGTTGTTTCCAAGTCATGGCTGACGATAATTACTAAGTCCTTTTGTCTTCTAACATCTGGCAGTTTTGTGTCACCCAGTGAGTATGATGTGTAAGACTTCTGACCTGTGTGCATTATCGCGCTTTTCTTGGAATCAATCTTCAGACTCCACAGGTTCGACCATTCAGCTAATTTATCTAGATCACTTTGTTAGACCGACTTATCATCATTATTATATACACTTTCTCAGATCTTAATATCATCCAGAAATAGTAATGAAGATGGAGTAAGTATTGTCGGCAGTTCACTTACATATAATAGGAATAGCAGGGGCCTAGTACAGTTCTCCACTCAGGGCTGCTTTCCACCCTAACAGTACACTGTTAACACTTACCTCAACCTACTTAAGAGTAAAACAAGTAAAACTTACCATTATATGGGAAATTGTATACAAGAAGGGAGACAAGTCTTCCTGTGATAATCACAGAGGGATTAGCTTGACTACTATAATATCTGAAGTCCTAGGCTCAATAATCATGCGTAGACTCCAAAGCCTCAGGATGGTCGGGGGTGGGTGTCTTGCGCTGCGGGTTGGCCACCCCTCCGTACACCTCTTGAAATGCTCCCATATGACCGGGCGTCTTACATAGCCTCTCCTGAGGAAGTCCTACTCACTGCCTTCACGTGGCGGAGGTGTTTTTCACCAAAGTGAGAGGGCAAAAGCGGATGCCCGGCGCTCTTCACCGGGTTGTCTGTCCATTGGATGACAGTCTAGGGGAGATGGCTAAACCCTGATTCCAAACCTCCAACGACTGGCGTATGAAGCTCACCGGCAGACGTATGGACAAAGGGCTTATTGGATGCCCTGGATGACTGGCCCCATTCAAAAAGGCGAATGAACCGGTCACCGGCTGCCAATGGATAGTGGACTCCCTACTCCACTCCTACTGCCTTGTAGGTCACACTTGGTTGTGTAAAGGCTAGAGCTGCACTCTCAAACAAAAGGCCGAGCGATGCTGGGGACATCACTCGTACCCAATTCCCATGAAACTTCATGGTTCATGAAGCCGGCTCATCCTCCCGTAGGAGATAGCCGAAGTAAAGTAAAAAGTAAGTAGACTAAGTGGTACTCGGGAGGCACAAACACGAGAAAGCCAGGCAGGCTTTAGACCAGGAAGAGGGTGTATTGGTCATATCTTCACCCTCCGACAGATTCTAGAACATAGGAATTCCTACCGGCGTCCAACAGTCATATTTCTTGACCTAAAGGCGGCATTCGATTCTGTCTACCGAGAGGTACTCTGGCGTTGCTTGGTTGTAAAGGGAATGCCAACAAAATACATCGCACTGATTAACGCAATCTACTCGTACTCATACAGCCAGGTGAGGGCTTACGGCGAGTTGTTTTCTGAACTGATGACGACTAGTTGTGTCCGTCAAGGATGCCCTTTATCCCCTTTTCTATTCAACTTCATCATAGATGTATTAATGGACTTAACCCTAACTCACTTCAGCGACTCAGGGATTGACTTGCTACCACGGAATAATCTCGTTAACTTAGAATATGCAGACGATATAGTCCTGCTAGGCGAGGACGCTGAAAAAATGCAGAGTCTTCTAAACACCTTGAGCTGCAATCTACGAATGTTCGGCATGCGATTCGCTCCCGCCAAATGCAAGATGATGTTACAGCACTGGATCACACTGATTCCTAGTTTAAAAATAGGAAGTGAAGTGGTAGAGCACGTTGATCACTTCTCTTATTTGGGAAGTACCATCAGCCCCAACGGGCTGATCTCTGACGAAATCTCAGCACGAATACAGGGGGCTCGTTTCGCATTTTCCAGTTTACGCCGACTCTGGCGTAGACGAGATGTTCGACTATCGACCAAATGGCGGGTGTACTGCCCATCAGTCCGCTCCGTCCTCCTTTATGGCGAGCTGTGAGACCTGGCCACTGAGAGTGGAAGACATGAAAAGACTAGCTGTCTTTGATCATAGGTGCCTGCGCTCTATTTCGGGTGTAAAGTGGTATAATAAGGAGAGCAACATTGAGGTTAGGCGTTGAGTTCTAGGTAAACAGGGGAAATCAATCGACGAAGTCGCGAAGTTACAAAGACTGAGATGGTTAGGACATGTGTTACGTATGCACCCCTAGTCATCGCCTTCCTCGACGAGCAATGTTAGCGGATATAGGGTCAGGCTGGAAAAAAGCTAGCGTAGGTCAAACAAAAACTTGGCACCAGTCAATGAAATCTACAACAGTTAGTTTAAGCCACTTAGGAAGGTGTAGACTTCCTGACTGGTTGGGGTCCTCGGGACGGTAAAAACCAATGAAGCCTGGAGTCAGATGGTGATATGGCTGGCTCAAAATCTTTCCCAATGACTTGCGCAGATGCATCCACTCCTTTTGACTTATCCAATAAGACTATATTGTTCTTCGATATTACTATTCTTTTTGCCTCATATCTCTGTGTACTGTCTCTGTTTATACTTTCTCTTGTTTTGTGTGCTAAGTAAAGTGTGGCAACTCGAACTGCCGCACATCGGTGCAAAGTTCTACGTTGAAACCAGTTCAATCTAGTCTCTTTTGTACAGATCTGAAGTACGATTGACATATTTCTTAAGTTATCAGACACTTTGTTTCTGTCTTATCATACATTTTCTCCCATTGGAATTGAATTCACTAATTTCATTTTCTGTCTTTATTGCTGTTATTATTATAGTGCATGGTCAAATGCAATTATGTCTTTGGTAAGTTGTAATATGTATACATTTCTAAATAGCGTATTCTAACTATATATTTATAAATCTAATATTTTGTATTCAACAGAATACATCCATATAAGTGTTGATATGTGTCCCCCTATTGTTTTGAATATTTTTCATATATTAATAAACTAGGAGTATAAACAGGCGTTGGGTGGCACAGCGGTAAAATGCTCACCGGCCACGCATGTGCTCCGGGGTTCGATCCCCGGCCGCCAGCTCACTCCTTTACCTCGCTAAGCCAGTAGTAAGACTGGTAAAGCGGAAAGGTTGGGCATGAAGCTAGCAACTCCATCCCGTAAAAATAAAATAAGCACCACTGCTACCGAAACTTCAAGCGTCTAAGTCGAAGCCCTATTTTCCACTGGGAACGTAAAGGAATAAAAAAAGAAGTATGAATTGTATTTCACGTATTACTGTCTTAGAGTCCGTATAATGCCGTTATCTCAAACAGTAGATGCGGCTCATAACCAGTGAGTTAGTTTTTTTTATCCCTTCACGCTCCCAGTGGAACATAGGGCTTCAAGCTAGAGGCTTGAAGTTTCTGTATCAGTGTTTACTTTTACGAGATGAAGTTGCTAGTCTTACGTCCAACCTTTCCTCTTTACCAGCTTTATCACTGGCTTAGCAAGGTAAAGGAGTGCGTCGACCGGGAATTGAACCCCTGACCATGTGCATGGTCGGTGAGCGTCCTAACCGCTGTGCCACCGACACAGGTGATTCAGTTTGCTAGAACTCAAATGCCTAGTATTGACTTTATAGGCCACATTTATTGTGAGGCCTAATGATATGACAGTTAGTCAAACCGAGGTAGCTGAAGTGAAACTCGAATCCCAGGACTCAGTCCTTGTGTCAATGAGCTACATTTCCATCTCATAACCAACTGTAGAAATGTTTACTTGGTGGCTGACTTATACCCATTTATTCATTCATATAATGATGTAAACTATACATTATAAATTATTTGAATTAATCCCAGCGTGTTAAGAAAATCAAAACAAGATTTTTCTGAACGTTTCGCCGTGTAAGCCACAGCTTCTTCAGCAGATTTATTCGGATTATAATTAATCATCAAAATATATAGTCAAAAATTTTTTACATAAAATGAAGTCAGTTTATTTGAAGGTCATTTCTCCATGAACATTTTTTTACCAATAGAAGTATGTAAGCTGTCCTCACATATATTTGTAATGACTAATGTCAAATTGTTGTTGTGTTTACTCTTCTATAGTTGACTTGTAAAGATTAGATTTGTATGCGTGTGTGTGTATGTATGTTATTTGTCATATGGAAAATACGTGAATTCATATGTGATAAACGTGTCACTACATGTTTTAAAGGTCATGGAGGCTCATAGAGTGTTTGTTGTTTTTTCATTTGTCTTGCTTCATAAGAGTTTGCCATATAGGTGATAAGTCTATACCTTCCTTCCTATTCACTGCATTTGATGTGGTTAAAATGTGCAAGGCTTCTGAAGTCAATCTTTCTTTATGTGAATGAAATCCTCTTCCAAGAATTTCGACATTGTCAAAATCAATCTTATGTCCGCTGTCTATCGCATGCATTGCTATAGCCGATCTTTTTTCTAGACTTTTTAATTCTACTTCATTTCTAGGTGGACGTTTCGTGCAAAGTCTATGTTCATTCACTCTGACTTTCACCTGCCTACTGCTCTCCCCTATATAGCATGCCTCACATTCTGAACACTTTATCTTGTAGACACAATTACTTTGTGACATTTTGGGAACTATATCTTTAACATGCACTAAAGCTTTCTCTAGAGAATTAGAAGGTTTGACATAGACTTTAATATTATATGCAGCAAATAGTCTTTGAAGTTGTTCAGCTGTGTCTTTTCGATATGGAATGGCTATCGTCGATAGCCAGGATTTTTCAACTTTTTGTTTTTCTCTATGCTCCTTTCTATTGATGATATTATCTAGTAGCTTTTCAGGATAACCATTTCCAATCAAAATCTGTTTTATATTGGTTATCTCTTTCTCCATATCGTCATTATCAGTTATAATGTTTCTAGCTCTGTTAAAGAGATTTAAAGCTACTGAGACTTTCATTCCTATTGGATGATCTGATTGGAAATTCAAATACTTATTGGAATGTGTCGGCTTTCTGTATATGGTAAACTTCAGTTTCTCGTCAGTTTGTCTTTTTACAAGACAATCAAGAAAGTTTAGAGTTCCCTCCGCCGATTCTATTTCATTAGTAAACTCAATATATTCTGAGATTGAGTTAATTTCTGTTAAAAAGTCTTCTTTTTCAGCTTTCTTTATGACAATAAATGTGTCATCTACGTATCTGTACCATATTCTAGGATGACAGCTAAGACTTGTCAATGCTTTCTTTTCTAAGGCTTTCATATATAAGTTTGCTACAATTGGAGATGCTGGTGAACCCATTGCAACTCCATTTGTTTGACAGTATAGTTTATCTTTAAATGTAAAATATGTTGATTCCAAACAAAGTTTTAAACATTTTATAACCTCATCTATTGATAATAAAGATTTACTTAATACTTTTTGATTGTTTTCAAGTTCATATTTCATAATATCCAGTGACTCACATATAGGAATACTAGTAAATAAAGAAACCACATCAAAACTTGCCATAATCTCGTCTTCTTCAATAATTATATCCATTACTTTCTTTTTAAATTCATCAATATTTTTGATGTTCGAAGGAATATTGTATTGAAGTGGTTTCAGTATTCGTGATATGTATTTTGATAAAGTATGTGTTACTGAATTGGTAAAATCGATTATTGGTCTTAAAGGAACGTTTATTTTATGTAATTTTGGCCTTCCATAAAATCTCGCGGCCGTGTTTGTCTTGGGAGCTATTGAGAACCAAACTGAATTCCCCAGTTTTGGTTTCAATTCTCTAAGTATATTGCATACTTGGGCTTTTACTTTGTTCATAGTACTAGACATTTTGTTTACTGGTACTAATGTGTATGGCCCTGTTTCGATATGTTCTAAAGCTTTCTTGTCGTAGTCGTCTTTATTAAGAATTACGGTGATATTGCCTTTGTCAGCTTTAGTAATAACAATAGATTTGTCTGACCTTAATGTCATGCTTTACAAACATTAAGATCAGACAAATCTATTGTTATTACTAAAGCTGACAAAGGCAATATCACCGTAATTCTTAATAAAGACGACTACGACAAGAAAGCTTTAGAACATATCGAAACAGGGCCATACACATTAGTACCAGTAAACAAAATGTCTAGTACTATGAACAAAGTAAAAGCCCAAGTATGCAATATACTTAGAGAATTGAAACCAAAACTGGGGAATTCAGTTTGGTTCTCAATAGCTCCCAAGACAAACACGGCCGCGAGATTTTATGGAAGGCCAAAATTACATAAAATAAACGTTCCTTTAAGACCAATAATCGATTTTACCAATTCAGTAACATATACTTTATCAAAATACATATCACGAATACTGAAACCACTTCAATACAATATTCCTTCGAACATCAAAAATATTGATGAATTTAAAAAGAAAGTAATGGATATAATTATTGAAGAAGACGAGATTATGGCAAGTTTTGATGTGGTTTCTTTATTTACTAGTATTCCTATATGTGAGTCACTGGATATTATGAAATATGAACTTGAAAACAATCAAAAAGTATTAAGTAAATCTTTATTATCAATAGATGAGGTTATAAAATGTTTAAAACTTTGTTTGGAATCAACATATTTTACATTTAAAGATAAACTATACTGTCAAACAAATGGAGTTGCAATGGGTTCACCAGCATCTCCAATTGTAGCAAACTTATATATGAAAGCCTTAGAAAAGAAAGCATTGACAAGTCTTAGCTGTCATCCTAGAATATGGTACAGATACGTAGATGACACATTTATTGTCATAAAGAAAGCTGAAAAAGAAGACTTTTTAACAGAAATTAACTCAATCTCAGAATATATTGAGTTTACTAATGAAATAGAATCGGCGGAGGGAACTCTAAACTTTCTTGATTGTCTTGTAAAAAGACAAACTGACGAGAAACTGAAGTTTACCATATACAGAAAGCCGACACATTCCAATAAGTATTTGAATTTCCAATCAGATCATCCAATAGGAATGAAAGTCTCAGTAGCTTTAAATCTCTTTAACAGAGCTAGAAACATTATAACTGATAATGACGATATGGAGAAAGAGATAACCAATATAAAACAGATTTTGATTGGAAATGGTTATCCTGAAAAGCTACTAGATAATATCATCAATAGAAAGGAGCATAGAGAAAAACAAAAAGTTGAAAAATCCTGGCTATCGACGATAGCCATTCCATATCGAAAAGACACAGCTGAACAACTTCAAAGACTATTTGCTGCATATAATATTAAAGTCTATGTCAAACCTTCTAATTCTCTAGAGAAAGCTTTAGTGCATGTTAAAGATATAGTTCCCAAAATGTCACAAAGTAATTGTGTCTACAAGATAAAGTGTTCAGAATGTGAGGCATGCTATATAGGGGAGAGCAGTAGGCAGGTGAAAGTCAGAGTGAATGAACATAGACTTTGCACGAAACGTCCACCTAGAAATGAAGTAGAATTAAAAAGTCTAGAAAAAAGATCGGCTATAGCAATGCATGCGATAGACAGCGGACATAAGATTGATTTTGACAATGTCGAAATTCTTGGAAGAGGATTTCATTCACATAAAGAAAGATTGACTTCAGAAGCCTTGCACATTTTAACCACATCAAATGCAGTGAATAGGAAGGAAGGTATAGACTTATCACCTATATGGCAAACTCTTATGAAGCAAGACAAATGAAAAAACAACAAACACTCTATGAGCCTCCATGACCTTTAAAACATGTAGTGACACGTTTATCACATATGAATTCACGTATTTTCCATATGACAAATAACATACATACACACACACGCATACAAATCTAATCTTTACAAGTCAACTATAGAAGAGTAAACACAACAACAATTTGAC